CTCCGCGCGGACCCGCCGCCCCGCGCTCACCGGCCGCTTTTCCCCTGCGCAGGCTTTCTGCGACGACGCCTCCGGCCTGAGGTTCAGCCCGGTCCTGTACCCCAAGGTGAGGGGGCTCCTGCTGCCCCGGCCCCGCCGTGCCCTGGCCGGCTTCCCAAACCGGGGCCAAAACCGCGCTTTTTGTTACCCGCCCGCGGTGTCGCGCGTCCCGAACGTGTGCGTGCTCTTGCCCTCTCCTACAAACCTTTCCTGGGAGACTCTAAGCAAATCCAGCGTTTTCAGGTGCCTTTTACGTGGAAGACCTTTCAGGCGGCGGATGCAGCCGTTTGTTGCGCGGCCGTTTCCCCACCTTTCGATGCAGCCAAGGTCAAAATGGTTTCGTTCACCCGTTTGTTACTGGTGTGGCTGTCGAGTCGTTATGGGGGAGCGTGAGAGCCCCCGCCGCCCGGTGCAGGAAGACAAACGTCTTTGCCGTCCTGCCTGCGCGGCAAGGGCTGTGATGGCGGAGCTGGCTCGCTGTTGGCAGCTGCGGTTATTTGCATCCGAAACATCCCAGAGTTTTTCACCGAGAATGTGGGAGAGGAAATCTGGGTTCTCTAGTTTTTCCTAGTATTTTCTTCCCCGTGTGCACGCGTCCTCGCAATCCTGGTTGTGTTCATCTGGCCCTGTTGCCACCCCCTGGTCTTTAAGCCCTTTTGGGGCCATGACCTCAAATATGTTTGGCCGTGGATTTCTACTTAGTGAGCCAAGAACAAATCTCAGATTTTATAGCTGATTGTGAATACGTTGCTGTCTCTTTGTCCAGCCAGTAGGACTTTATATCTAAGATTTTCCTCTTCTAGATGTCATGGTTCATGAACTGCCAAATGAAATCAGTCATGTTTTGCTTTATCCAGGCATCCCAGATGATAGTGTCTTACGATGAACATGAAGTCAACAATACTTTCAAGTTTGGTGTGATCTATCAGAAATTTAGGCAGGTGAGTAACCCCCATTTTATTCTGATTAAGCACATCCTCGCTAGCCAGAGGCCTGTTTTTCAAAAGACGTGCGAGACCTTTCAAGCTGAAACTTGGCCCTGTAGTTAATTTTTTCATGTGCAACACATTATGTTACTGGTATGTTTCTTATTACTTGAATATTTCCCTGGCTCGTTAAAAAATGATGCGACTGAAAAATCAATATGTAAATCAGCCCACAAGCTGCTGTAGGGAGAAGTGGATGTGAAAATACATTTTAGCAACCGTGGTATTTTAATCAGATGCGTGTTTAGACAGTCAAACAGTTAGATTGGTAGGGGAAGACCGCAGGCTATGAAGACGTACGTTTGCTGAAAATGCTTTCATTAGCTTAGGAACTTCAGATGTGAAGCAGAGAGACAGATGAATCTAATAATTTATCAGAGATTATTCTGACAGGCATTCTAATTACCTTTACATATTGCATTTTATTTTCGATTGAATAACTAATGCAAGACCACAATTAAAATCTCATTGTTTTGAAATACGCCACACAAGGGATGATTAAGACCTAAATTTTCCAATGAAGTATTAATATGTATTTTAATATAACCCAAGGTTTATCCTACGATACCTTTCTTTTGGTCAGAAGCTGCTCTCAGCAGCTTCACGTTTGACTTTCGTGGCGGCTAAGCAGAGCGCGAACCTGCCCGTCGCCGATATCTGTTGCTTGTGCTGTGGCGTCTGCTCGGAAACGGTGCTGCGGCGCAGCCGTTGCTGCGGCAGATGATGGCTCCTTTTTTGCTGATAACAAAGTTTGGTTTTAAGGAGATGTTCGGAGAAGGCTGAAGATGCAAAAGGGGCGGATTGAATGCATCTTTCGAGCGACAGGTGCCCTGTGGTTTCAACGAGCCCCGTGTGCTCATCGTTCGTACCAAAGGATAGCTTTGCTTGGGTGTCGAGGGACGCGGCCGGCGTGAGATCCCTTAGGCTGAAGGTTGTCGCGGTGCTCGGCCGTCGATGAAGAGCTGTGGCCAGGTGTCGGGTCGGGGTGCGACCGCGCGGTGCCGGCCGGGCCGTGGCTGCACCAGCCCTGCTCTTCCTTCCGCCCGGGGAGAGCGCTGGGCTCGGCAGTGCAGCTGCAACCCCGTTTCCAGCTTGGGAGTCCGGAGAAGAGCAGCTTGGTCGGTGTTTGGCAAGAAGATGGTGGGTGGTCTACCAGGCTCTGGAGACAGCGGGGCGGTGGTGGAGGTCGACAGCAGCGCGTGCTCGTTCTCCGTCCCTGGGCCCCCCAGAGGGAACCGCTCCCGGCTCGCGCCCGGGGAAACGCTGCCTTTTTTTTCGGGCGCTGCCGGAGCCCACACTCGCCTTCAGGCAGCGCTCGCTTGCCACGACGGTCGCCTTTGGGTTCAGATTTTGAGCCCGTTACGACTGTTTCCCACGTCCAATATTTAAGCTGCTCAGTATCCAGCTTTTCTGTTTTGGGTCCGTTATTCCTATATATATGAATGCTCCTAGTATTTGTATACAATGCCAGGTAAAACAGCAGGTGTTTTTCCAGAGAACTACAGGTTCTGTAAATATGTTGTTCTTTACAGCTGTTTGGAAGGAACTTTACAGTTTGAAAATCATTTCTAATGCTTCTTGATTTTATGTTATATGTCTGTGTATTTTGTAGACCCTAGAGGAAGAGTTGTTTGGAAATAATGAAGAGAGTCCTACCTTCAAAAGCTTCTTAAGTTTGCTGGGAGACACCATAACGCTCCAGGACTTCAAAGGGTATGTACAATAAAAAGAGTGATCTTACAAAGAAATTTAACAAGAGATCATGTAATACATAAAGTCATCTACTGTGCAAGCATAGTAATAATCTTACTGATGAGCTGCATGTAGAAACCAGACCAAATATACAAATATAGCTGCAAATGTAGCTTGGGCTTGTTTTTCAAAACTGGGGGAGTTTCCAAAAATTTGGAACTGCCAATAGCAAAAAGCTTCCTTTCCTGCGATTCTGAGGGTGTGGGAAAATGTGGTTGTAGCCGGCTGTAAGTGAAACAACCGTGCGTGGACAACGCTCCCTGCCCGCTCTCCTGTGTTAAGCCGTGGCACGTCCCTAGCGCGGTCGCCGACGTGGCAGGAGGGACAGCGACAGCTCGGCTCAGGCCACCTTCCACCGCTCCTCCCGCGGCTGCTTTGCACGCCTAACCCATCGGTGCTGCTCTGCCGCGTACCCTGAATTTCAGCCTGGTAACGAGAATGCTTAATTATACAACACTTTGTTCTCTCCCATTTGCTAGCGGCTAGGTAAAGAGAAATGAATTCATTTTTTCTGTCACCTTGCAGCCTGACAGCTGCCCGTGGTCTTTGGTGACATTCAATTAATACTTCTTCGTTTCTCCCGCCTTTCCTCTGGTGGCCAGTTTTCGCGGAGGGCTGGACGTCAGCCACGGGCAGACGGGCGCCGAGTCGGTGTACACCACGTTTCGGGACAGGGAGATCATGTTTCACGTCTCCACAAAGCTGCCGTTCACCGAAGGAGATACGCAACAAGTAAGAGAGATGAGCTGCTTTGAGACAGACGTTTCTAAGCAGACCTGCACTGATGCTGCAGTTGAATGTTTGTTTTACCCTAACGAGGCCAGCTAAAAATGCTCAAAATACGGCGAGTCCATGGCTCACGAGCCTAGTACAGGCGTTTGACACCTGTTGGGCTCCCAAGTCTGCAGGAACCTGGTCACGCAAAACTGATGTTTGCCCCCAAGGGAGACCGAATTACCTACTTTCACAAGCGAAACGTTCTCGCTTTCTGTTCAGCTTCAGAGAAAGAGGCACATTGGAAATGACATCGTGGCGATTATATTCCAAGAAGAGAACACGCCGTTTGTCCCAGACATGATCGCCTCCAACTTCTTGCACGCCTACATCGTCGTGCAAGTGGAAAACCCCGAGACAGATAACACATCCTATAAGGTAAGGGCAGTCTGGAAGTGCTGGTGTTCATTTTGGGTCCCGCATCCCAGCCCGAGGCCCTGGGCTGCCGGCCAGCTCCCTTATGTGGTCTGATCTCCAGGTAGGAAGTGTCTTAAGTTTCTTGTGTGTGCAGCTCGTACCCAGCTGGTTTCTGCATGGATTATTTACATATAACTTGGTTAATATGTAGTATGACACAGTTGACTTCCAAATTGTACATTTACTTGAGTGTGATTCATAATATAACTGTTGTGGTACCTGACTGAAGAATGTATGTGTGTATATATTAAACATATATTTGTGTGTGTATATAAATATACATTTACGTATGCACCAATGCATAATGTATATGTGTATATAAAATGCGCATGTCTAACAGCCCTCAGGGAGCCGATCCCCCTCTGCCCCGAGCGGCGGCAGGACGGTGCTGGCTCTGCACGGAGCTGCCTGTTTCCGTAGGCTCTGCACTTCGTGCGTGCTGGCAAAGTGCATCAATCGCTTTGACTTTTAGCATTTCAGAGGCAGCATATGAGAACTGGAAGGGACGTTATGGAACGGAGGCCAGACATCCAAATTAAATTGTCACTGTAGAAAGATAATTTCCCCGCAGCGGGCAGAGGCAGCCTGCTCAGCTGCTGAGGCCATGCGCTCAGAAGAGGAAAAGGGAAGCTTATTTTATATTCTTCCTTCTTTCTTTTCTCCCCAGCTCCAAGGGGCCCCTTTCAGTTTGATTTCAGGTCCCCAATGAAATTTAGCAGCATCTGCTTTTATGCCCTGCTGAACTGCAGGAACCAGCTGGCTGCTTGCCAAAGCGTTGTGCACGTCAGCAGGAGCCTGGAGAATTGAGAAGGCAGGCAGTGTATTGACCGAAAAGTGTCAACTGACTTCTCGGAGAGCTAAAATTACCTCCCGGCTAGGTGCATGTGCTTACTCACAAGCACTAAGACAGCGTGTGCGGATGTGACCAGGGGCCGCAGCACAAAGTCACGTCGGGATTTCACGTGAGAGGGCTGCTGTGAGGCTGAGGATAAGGTGTGCTGGCAAGCAGATGCAAGAGGGCAAATGCCGAGAGGATCCCAAGGGTCTGCCCTGGGGTATCGCCCAGGGGCGCCCCCGGAGCAGGGCTGCTTTGTGCTCGAAGGTGGGGGCCCATAACGAAGGGTAGCATATCCCTGAAAAAACATAAGGATGAGACGTGACAGCAACCCTGGCAGATGCAGGACATCAGAGAGATGGTTGTGACAGGCGGAAAGTCCTGTCGGTTGCTCCTTCTCCGTTGTAAGCGGTGTTCATCGTTACATGTGGCTTGCATGGCTTTCTGTCTGAGATCCAGGGGGCTTTTGCACTTTGCAAACTTTTATGACAAGAATGAGACTGTATTGCAAAGACTTTGTGGGCTCAATTTGTAAATTAAAAAAAATGGTCGGTGAGTGCAGGTCAGAGAGCGGCGAGGTCTTGCCCGAGCAGAGGCAGCGTAACGCCGCCTCTGTGGCTGGGGGGCCGGGCGCTGCAGCCAAGACCTGTCAGTGCTCCTGGGCTCTCTGGTGGACGTGGGCTGGTGACCAGCTGTGCCTGGGCCACGGAGGTGGCTCTCGAGGAGGAGAATATCTGTTCCGACTGCTGCGCTTCTGCACTTGTGTGATGAGTGTTTTCTTTTGGCTCCGCAGGTGTCTGTCACAGCGCGGGAAGACGTCCCCTCCTTCGGCCCGCCTCTGCCCAGCCCACCGGTGTTTCAAAAAGTAAGATGAGAAGTGGAAAGCACATTCCAAATCATAAAAAGAAAAAAGGAAGTGTCTGAGGGGTTTCAGAACATAGCTGGTAGGGAAAATGTGACTGCTAGAATTTATATAAATTTATTTAAATTCGGCTCTCTTGGACCCTGTCTTCTGTGGGGGAGTAAATCCATGCTGATCTATGCCAGAGCCAGACAAGGCAGCTGAGCAATGAGTTACTAGAGCCCCGTTTTCCAGCCCCTGAGCTGGGCCACGAATGTTTTTTACTGCAGCAGAAGGGACCGAGATGCTTCCTGGCAGCTTTGCTGGAGACCACTGGTTTGGGCCCTTGGCCAAATGAGAAAATACAAGAGTCGTAACCTATATACTTTATATAAGGCACATGGGATTTATAAGGCAGGAAGCCATGTGTTACACAGCTTTCTGGCAGCATAACCCGTGCAAAGTGGCGTTTGGGCCTCTTCTGCGGGCGGTCTGCCTGGGGGGGCTGGTGGTGGTGGCACATCGCTGAGCCATCTGGCTCCTGGCCGGGCTGGCCAGGACGAGGGCAGCGAGCAGTAGGATAGGAAGGCTGCTGGAGTGGATTTGCAGTTTTTCACCATGTCTGGCGGAGGCCGCAGGATGCTCTGCGCTAGATTTTGGGGTCTGTGGAATTATGGTGCCAGAAATATCTGAGAGTATTAAACTAGCTTTTATTGCTGAAGCTTGCCTCTCTTTCTTCTTCTAGAGCCCAGAGTTCAGGGAGTTCCTGCTCACCAAACTCATCAATGCTGAAAACGCCTGCTGCAAGTCTGACAAGTTTGCGAAGCTGGAGGTAAAGCTCTCTCGCTTTCCTTTCCCTCACTGCCCTTTCCTCTGGGCCAGGCGCAGGAGGCCAGGAGGAACTGGTGCATGAATGCAGAAAGCTCTTTTCTGTTTTCCGCCTAAATTGCTGTTTCTGCAGTGCTGCGTGGGGTCAGCACTTGAGGGCAAGCACAGGGACAGGTGATCAAAGCGTTTAAGTGTTATAATATGTTTGATGGACACCTCCTTGGTGCCTAACGAAGAGGACCTGGATGGAAGATCCCCTGGGTGGACTGGCTGGGGGAAGCTGGTTGCTCCTGCCGTGCAGAGCTGTTGGGTGTGCGTTGCTGTAAAGGCTGTTCCTGCTGCTCTTGATGCAGCATTTTGCAAACACTGAGCCAACTTGCAAACAACAGCAACCCTCTTTACTCCCTCAGGACCGGACACGGGCTGCGTTGTTGGACAACCTTCATGACGAGCTCCATGGGCACACCCAAGCCATGCTGGGACTGGGGCCTGAGGAGGACAAACTTGAGAACGGAGGCCATGGAGGCTTTTTGGAGTCATTTAAGGTAAACCCAAGTCCCTTGCCAAGAGCAAAGTTAAAATGCACTTGAGGTTGGCAAGACGCTTTAATGGGAGATGCAGATGAGTGATTTTGAGGGAAAAGAGATGTTTCTTGAAAGCAGAATCCTAGGATGAAGCAGGAGTTCATCTCCACTGAAGCTAGTTCAGCTCGGGAAACACCTGAACTAGTCCCTGTGGGAGCGCTCAGAGGTTCAGAGTAAGCACGTGTGCTGCCGCTGTGTTGGAAGAATGCCACGCTCAGGGAAACGTCTCCAGAGCATCCGTGCATTTCTTCTCCCTCCTCTGTGCTCTGGTATTTGTGGTATCTTGAAAGTGGTCTTTAATTCAGGGCGAATATTCAGTCCTGGGCTTTGAATGCAATCAGGACTTAGTTATTGCAAGAAAAGTCTTGGAAGTTTGTCTCAGGCTGCTGTATTCCTGCGTCAGTGGGGCTTTCCCTGCACACTCTCACCCATGGGATCTCTCTCGCGTGGGATGAAGAGACGCTTGAGGTCTGGTGTTGTGCTACAGTGAGGGCTCGAGGGACTGCTGTCCTTTTCCTTAAAACAGGGAACAAAATGAGACGTACTAGGTGTAAAGAGAGGAAAAGGTGCTGCCCGTGCCAGGGTGATGGGTGTAGAATATGTGTAAGCGTAGAGAAGGAAGAATAGATGGGGGGGAAAAAAGGGAGGAGAAGAAATGAGAGAAAATGACCTGTGGGAAACCCTGAGTGACTGTCCAAGACGCTAGCAATGATAGGTTGGGTGGCAGAGTTGTACATGTGAAAGGAGGGACAGTATTTGAACAAAATCGTTGGGGATAAGCTGTTGCCCACAAGTCTCTTGTAAAGGCTTCCTTGTGATAGAAAAGGAAATTTGATTGAGAAGTAAATGTGGGCTGTACGTACAGGTCTGTATTGGGAGCGCCTGTATCAGGGCAACGTGCTCCTGTTGGGTATGAATCTGTGACCTCGCTTTGGCCTGTGCAGCTCACGCCAGCCCTCTTCTAGTCCTGCTCCTGAGTGATATCACCATGCTGGTGAGCACACAGCTTCAGGTGTGTCCACGGTGTGGACCTCTGCTGGCCCCGTGGTGTCCATGAGAAGCCACACCTCACTCAGTCCTGGCAGGGAAAGCTGAACTGGCAGAGCCTGTCGTCCTGGCTGGACCCTACAGAAATGTCTTGTGGAGTTATAATACAGCTGCTAATTTAAAAAAGCTGATTCATGGGGCATTAGGCAGCAGCAGAGAGAAATAGGCGCTTCGAGGAGATGAGTCATCGTCTGACACCAGATGGCTGTGGTGGGGGAGATGCACGGTGCTCTGGGGGGTTTGCTCCTGGCCCCCGTGGCTGGACTGGCTCAGGTGTGTCCCACTTAGATATGAGATGTGTTGTAGAAATTTAAATACCATGCAGACTTTTCTTACAGTGCTTATTTCAAGGTTGCTGAGATGTTAATGTTAAATAATAATTTTTTTTCACATGCTCTCTGTGTATGAGAAGGTGGACTTTGCTCTCTTGGCGTTTCAGGCTGCCCCAGGGCATGCGGTGAATTCAGCTGTCAGAGCTGCTTTGCGCTTGCCTTGTTACCTCTGGACCGCGCCTCTGATGTGCTTGCTAGCTTATGTGCTCCACAGCGCGTTTTCGGAGTGAATGTGTGAAGGTAGAAATGGTAGAGGAGGAGAGGAGTGGGCAGGCAGTGAGATGTGATCCATCCCCCCCCATGCATCGGATCTGCCTCCTCCGCTGGCTGTGCAGCGTGAGGACCAGCCGCGCCTGGCGCTGCGGGCCAGAGCTTGCCTGCTGCGTTTGCAGCCGGCAAGGAGATCTTGCCAGCTCTTACCTACAGGGGAGAGGGGTCACGGGGCAGCCAGGGCTCCTCTTCCTCACCTTGGGAGGGAGCCGGACCATGAGGCTGGGTGGTTTTGGGGTTGCGGTCCCCGTCGGCAGTGAGGGCTAGCAGGGAGCTCCCTGGAGGAGCACGCCGCGGGGACCCCGACAACAAGGAAGACGCATCAGCTACTTTTCTCTGCAAATATTGC